CACACACACCCCACACCCCACACCCCCACCCACACCCACACACAGACAAATATTTACACTCACTTTCTGAGAAAAGTCTGGTGGATAATAATTGCATTGTTGTAAAAAGCAGTCCTAAAAGGTGATGAATTATCAAGACAACATTGCATGCAATTACATTTCATCAACATGTGAATCATTCAGGCAGTGCATCAATATTTTTATGTCGTGTTCACCTGCTGTTGATGCATATAAAACATATGTTAAACAATATTGTTTTAAATTTCGATTGAAGTTTTGCTGACATGCACTGAAAAGCAAGAAGTTTACCTGTAATATATATATGTGCTGTGTTTGCAGTTTATCTATTCTCATGTCTGCAAATTGAGCCAAATCTGGTGGCATAACAAAGCTGTTTCACATGCACCAAGTATTAAGATGATATAAAACAACTCAAAGTACATGCTACAATGACAAGATGATTTATCATACTGGTTTTTTGTCTACTTTTTAGCCTGGCTGTGTATCCTCTCAGGTCACACGAAAAACAGGCAGGAAAGTCTGTATCAACATTTCAGATTATTTAACAATAAGTGATACATCATATCAGTCATTCCATTCAGTTTACTATAAAACTAATGTACCTAGATGGTATACTTGTCTTTGTAGGTTTGTTTTTAACATAAATTTGATTGTGTATAAGTTATATATTTTACAAGCAGTAACAACATGCCAAATTTCTTTTTCCACATATGGTATGATTTTTCCTCATTGAATTCCAGTTTAATTCAATTTGGTGCCGATAGAATGGCCATATATTAAAGAGGCCCAAAGGGTGTGCATTGCTCAATTAGTCTTCTAATAAATGTAAAATGTAGCATACTGTTTGCAAACCAGATCAGCACAACCACCGAGTCATTTCTGTGGCCTGTAAGTTTAACTTGTTTATTTCTTTAAGTTAAAACAGTAGTTGTTTCTAGAACACTATGAGGTCAGCAAGCCCCCCCCCCGCAATGTGCCTGACCAACATCACTCAGTCTATTTTTAGTACCATAGTAACCTTGATCATTTTAAACCCACACATCTACATTACCACGTTAAATTTCAAAAAGAGTAGACATTTGGATACCCAGATAAGGACTGCACACCGGATGGTCTATTTTTAATAATAGTGACCTTGACCTTAGAAAATGTGTAAACCTCTACAGCACATCTACATTTCACATTTCACATTGTATCAGTATGTCAAATTTCAGAAATAGTCTTTCGGTTTCTGAGATATCTTCAGAAACAAAAGTGTTGATGAACTGAAACAGACAGACACAGTGAATACTATTTATAGGCCGCCTGCATCCGATGCCGGGACCTAATAACCTCAAAGGTAAAATCAACCGGGACCTAATAACCTCAAGGGTAAAATCAACCGGGACCTAATAACCTCAAAGGTAAAATCAACCATAATAACTCAAAGGTAAAATCAACTGGGACCTAATAACCTCAAAGGTAAAATCAACTGGAACCTAATAACCTCAAGGGTAAAATCAACCGGGACCTATTAACCTCAAAGGTAAAATCAACCGGGACCTAATAACCTCAAAGGTAAAATGTTTGATTAACAACTATGACCTCATTAAATTAAGAACTTTTTGACCCCTGCAGATCTGAGGAAACTTCATGTGACTTCATGTGGTACTGTTTCGTACATATTTGTACAGTTGTGTAGACAGGTACAATTTTAGGCACTGTTTTGTTCATACGCTGTGTAGACAGGTACAATTTTAGGTCCTGTTTTGTACATATTTGTACAGTTGTGTAGACAGGTACAATTTGAGGTACTGTTTTGTACATATTTGTACAGTTATGTAGACAGGTACAATTTAAATACTGTTTTGTACATACTTGTACAGTTATGTAGACAGGTACAATTTAAGTACTGTTTCGTATATATTTGTACAGTTGTGTAGACAGGTACAATTTAGGTACTGTTTCGTATATATTTGTACAGTTTTGTAGACAGGTACAATTTAGCTAATTTTTCATACATATTTGTACAGTTGTGTAGACAGCTACAATTTTAGGTACTGTTTTGTACATATTTGTACAGTTATGTAGACAGGTACAATTTTAGGCACTGTTATAAATACACTAACTGTACTTGTATAGTTAAGCTCTAAGGTGATCCAGGTTTCATTCCCTTTTCAGTTAATTTCCTCATACTGTACATGGCTAAGTGGAGGCTGAAGATGGACAGGATATGGGATACTGACCAGTAAAGGTGAAAGGAACAAATACCATATTGCTCTATTCATCACCCTGGCTTTCAATGTAACGGACAAGAAAATGCAATTAGAATTTTGGATAATTATTTAAAACATTACAAACACGTCCAAGAAGATTCAGGATTTTACCAAAATGAAATATCAAGTATATTAAACCACCAAGTATGATTAAATAGTATATACACTGGAATATGAATTTTGATTAGGCTCAAAATCAAATACACAGATAGAATAGTCCACCATCAGTAAAGGACAGGAAGGGAGGTGTTCAACTTTCAAAACATTTCATAAATATAGAACTTGACCAGCATACAACTGAGAAGAGGTACAGGTGAGATAACAACATGTTTACAGGTAACCATTCTGTCAGTCCAGACAGGTGAGATTTTGTATACATACCACTCAGTAATGAATGAAATCAGCAACACCAGAGTTATATTTAAATAAATATAAATTACCATGCACTTTGTTTAATACCAAATTCTGCTGTTTTTTGACTGGTCCAATGAAATCACATGACTTGATAGGGATGTTGACCGAATTTGACAATGAGATTAAATCTGCCTTGAACAGATTCTGACTGGTAAACAGATTGGGATAGATTAATTACAAAGTAGATGTAATATTACTGCAGGTCGTAATATGACTGCAGGTGAATCCACACAATGTCAAGCTTATCAACATGTCTTTCAAAACCTTGTCTACTAAACAATATCTCGCAATCTACATTAAGGCACCTATCATTTGTGTCTAGAATTTGTACATTTCTATTAAAACAATTAAAAAAAAAACATTCTAGGTTTTTCATTACTCTTTATTTTACCAACTTATCAAAAGCATATTAACTAAAAATAGCAACAGAAAGGGACCTTAATTCATTCTGACGAAATATGCTCATAGGATATCTAGGATAGATCGCACATAGCATGTTGATAAATTGTACCAGGGAGCCTGTGTTAGCAGTCATCATTTGAAAGTGTCCGTATTTACCCGTATTTCCCTTACTGTTACCTGTGATCTGGATCATGCTAAAGTAATAGAAGATCCCCCCCCCCCCCCATAAAAAAACTATCACCCAAACGTTCAGTGTGTGCTAATGATTTGACAGTATATATCTGAGTATTTAGACTCCATAATCGCATCGTTAACAATATATTTGGTCTTCTCGTCTTACCTGCATGTCTCTTAACAGTTCTTTACATCTGTCCAACACATCTTCGAACGGACACTGGACGGACAACCGGAGTATGTCCACCAGGTATTCATCAATCATCTCTTTCGTATCCACAGCTCCGTGTATGGTGGCCATTCCCTTCATGTCGGGAGGGCTACCATGGCCCCCTATTAAGGCATCGAACACCCGAAGGATGGAATCGAACGCCCTGTTCCTCACCCCCGGGTCTCGGCTTGACAGGCAGTGCACAAATCGCAAAGAATCCTCATCTCGGATTTTCATACGTGAAGGCTCCTCAGCCATATCATCCACTTTGCGGAAACCAGAAGGAAGCTAAAATAGCACAAATAATTACAATTCACGTTAAATTCGACAAAAAAAGACAATAACACTGAAAATGTTGACGCATATTTTCCACAGCATAATAGGATACGATCAGCTGATTTTACCGACACCGGGTTTTTTACTACGTCCTCGATTCAATCGTAAAATTCACGTAGAAGTTCACTGTGAAATAATAATGTTACCTACCTTAAAGCTCGAGCGGGATCTCTTGAAGTAAACACAATAATCATTTATGGTCAAAAGTAATCAATTCCATCTAAAAAAGCTATTATTCCGAGAGATCGGTGATGAAATTCTTCATGCTGACCTGTGCACTTGTGCTCTGCGACCTTGACATGGAAAGGGGGCGTTTCCGACCGATTTCTGGACCAATGAAATTCGCCGCGACGTTCTCTTTCATCAGCACATTGCGATGCTAATACACAGGACAGTAATGGGAGTCTCTGATAGACGGCTTCTGTGGTGTATGTATGATTTGGAGTCATAGTATAAATAAAAATATTCCTTCAAAGGATAAATAGTTATTTGTATGAGATTATTTTAACATGTTGTAAACTGAAAAATATTTTCAATAAGTCTAGTACCTAAATAAGAGTTTCTAGAATTTTCCTGAAATGACATCAAAATTTCAGGAACAGTATTTAAAGAATGATTAGATAAGATGCTTTTATTGACCAAATAAGGGTCCATTTGTTATTGTAATAATGCTCTACAGTGTAGATCTAATTCTTGTTTGTCTGTATTTAAATGCATAATTTTGTTTAATTATTAATATCAGAATATATATTTGTCTATATAATAAAAAGAAACAGCGACAAATAATTTGGATTTAACCCTTTAACCCCTATGTAACTTTAGTAGACTCTTACATGCATTGATCTGGATGAGTCTATATGGTCTACAGTGGTGAAAGGGTTAATGTAGGGAGTCTCATCGCTCTGTGTCAATCTCCAACAAAGAAGAGTTCCAATTTGTTCAGATTTATTCTGACAGGAAGGTTGCCGGCTCATTAAATAATGTATCAAGACGTTATTACGTACCCTTGAACTTAATTCCACCAAAAAATCTCAATTATTAGGATTTGAGGGAACCAAAAACTTCTTGATTTCAACAATATGATAAGGAATAATTTCAAAATATTTTAAAACCCAAGAAGGCCTGCAACCTATAATTAAATTTATTTAGATTATTTGACTTAGGAAAAATCAAATAAGACTTGAAATATTTTTCCGTATCAAATTAGAAAAAAATGGTTTGACTATCTTAACTTGGGTGGATGTTGCGGTATCTGTGATGTAGCATTCAAGTGAGGTGCCACTATAAAAGATGCCGTTGGAAGCACGGTCCCACTACAAACAGAACACAATACATCTCCAGCACACACGCAGGCATACACACATAGGGAGATATTAGCCAGGTGGCATAGGACTAGTAGTTAGCGCCTGATAAGGCAACTCCTGCAAATTCCTCAAAAAATGTATATCCTAATTGAATTAATTGTATATCTATGTACTGTAAAGCGCTTTAGAGTGGCTTATGTTAGCTAGATAGGGCTTACGTTAGCTAGATAGGGCTTATGTTAGCTAGATAGGGCTTACGTTAGCTAGATAGATATCAAATGTTGTATATTATTATTATTATTAACTGTAAAGCTCAAATGGCCTGCCTCAGTCTTAATGATTCTATTTAAAAGTTGAAAAAGTTTTTATTACCTGGTAATATATCCAAAACAAATGCATGTTACTTTGAAATATTTAAAATTTGGATATAAAACAGATTGAATGCAAAGTTGTAAATGTTGTTAACTTTCCACCATTTTGAAGCTGAAGGTCACAAGTTTACTATGATCTCCCAATGTGATTTTGTGCCAAAATGCAGATTTGACATGTCTCTTCTATTTTTAAATTCCTATAAACTGAGTAAGGCTTCATTTGGAAGCATTACCTTCAAATTAAAATACATGTATGCAATGAAGACAATAATCAGAATAAATAAAAAGAGGGTATTCAAGCCTATGATTTCCTTAAGTGGTATTTACGTTATATTTTTCTTTTAGTTAAAACTTAATTTTATTGTTGTGATTTACATATATATAATATAATTTTGAAAAAAAGTACAAATTAAATATGTATGTTCATCCGTCTCCTGAAGTTGCCTATAGTTAAGAAGATTGACTTAGTGCCATTCCAGAGGTTTAGAAAACTATTACAGTTCAACTATGTTCTGCTTTTTAACTGTATCGATATATAAACTCAAAGTTTGTAATTTGACTTTCACAATCAATTTGTTTGAATACAATTTTCACGTCATGACAAAGGAAACTGTAAATTTAAGTTCTGTCAGATATTTTGTCATCTATGAGTACGTAGTAGGAAATCATTATCTTGTTAGATGCTACTGACACATGCAATGTTGGTGGTGTCAATAAAATTGCTTGAAAAATTCTTCAACTTAATCATTAGATTTTTACTTAATTCTCTTCTTCCCGTTATGACATGAGGCATCAACAATGCATCTCCATTTGTGTCTGTCGCTGGCAGCGTGTTGTGCCTCGCCCCATGAAAGCCCCATCTCTTTCACTTCCTGTGTTATGGTGCGACTCCATATTGTCTTTGGACGCCCATGCTTTCTTTTCCCAGGTGGTGTCCATTTCAGTGCAATTTTGGGGGGTTGGGACTGATCCATTCTGAGGACGTGGCCTGGCCATCTCATTCAGCGCCGCTTGATTGGAATGGTGGCATCCTGGCTGCTGGTTCTTCTGTAGAGCTCTTCATTGGAGATCTTCATTGGCCAGAAGATGCGACAGAATCTCCTGAGGCAACCATTGTGGAAGACACTGATCTTCTCCATGTCGCTCTTGATTACTGTCCAGCAGTCTGAGCCATACAGCAAGACTGGCCTCACAAAGCTGGAGTAAAGTCTGCGCTTTGTGGTTGTGCTGTATTGCCTTGATTTCCAGATCGGCTTGAGTCTGGTGAAGGAACCTCCAGCTTTGCTGAGTCTGGTGAAGGAACCTCCAGCTTTGCTGAGTCTGGCGTAGGAACCTCAAGCTTTGCTGAGTATGGCGAAGGAACCTCTAGCTTTGTTGAGTCTGGTGAAGGACCCTCCAGCTTTGCTGAGTCTGGTGAAGGAACCTCCAACTTTGCTGAGTCTGGTGAAGGAACCTCCAGCTTTGCTGAGTCTGGTGAAGGAACCTCCAGCTTTGCTGAGTCTGGCGAAGGAACCTCTAGCTTTGCTGAGCCTGGCTTGTATGTCCTTTTGTGCTGCAATGTCGTTGCTAATGATACTTCCAAAGCTGAATTCACTGGCCTGTTCGAGAGGGCGTCGTTTACAGTGATGGAAATTTCTTACGTACTGTTGGCGCTCAGGACTCTGGTCTTGGAAGAGCTCAACCTATTGGTTTTCTGCTGAAGTTGGACAGCACAGCAAGGCCAACAGCGAAGTTGAGGTCTTCAAGCTGGGAGAATAGGGTACACTGGATGCTTCTGGGTCTTTCGCAGGTGTTCTTCATCACCTAGTCGATGGTGACCAGGAAGACGATCTGGGAGATGATACATCCCTGTCGCACGCGAGACCTCACAGGAAGCCATTCTGACAGTTGTTCATCAACTATGACACTGCCTTCTGGTAGAAGAGTCTTGTCAGTGCGACCATCTAGGGAGGGATACCGTAATTAGGATGATAAGCTAAACACAATCAAGACTTTAGTTCAAATTTTAAGAAATCAATAAAAATGATGATCTCTTGGAAGTGATTCAAGGTTTAGGGGACAATCCATATTGCCCCTATGCACATGAACACTCTTATAAAATAATCTTTATACAATAAACTTCAATACTAGAGTTAAAAAAAGTAAATCTAAAAGGAATATAACTACTGTACTTTCTCATAATTAGTGATATCAAACTTAAACTGTCAAAATTCAAAAATGCCCACCTAGCAGCCATCTTGTTCTTAGCTAAGGACCAAGGCGAACCTACGAACAATTTTTGAGAAAGACTGATTCCACTTCTTTTGAGAAATATCAATAGCGAGAATTGTCTTAGGAGAGAAGAAATGTGATTTGAACAGTTACTGCCATCTGGTGAAGGTGAAATAGGATTACTATGTAGAATCTTGATACACATTATAATCGCTTCTTAGGTGTAAGGTTGATTTGTTATAGAGCAGATATGCGTACCAGTATATACAAACATTGTTTATTGGTGAAGGATTGAACTAGACAGCATAGTATAATATATATCCCTGATCTAGAAGACAATGTCATTTTCTTGTGACCTCGTATCTCACTTTGGACCACCCATATTCTATAAAGGCTTACAGGTAAATGGTATGATATATGTTAATTGTGGCCCTATACATCTTTTACTAACTAGCTAGTGGCTACATGTGTATTATACTTGTCAATTTTCTAACGAAATGAAAGGGTTAGTATTGAAATACACACACAAAATGGAGATGTTATATAAACATATGCTTATAATGGATGTGTTTATTTTGATGTCAATTGTATAAGATGTGAAACCATGATAAGATGGCAAAGGATATTCTATTGTCCTTTTCTTTTTACCGTCTCTTGATGAATATTCTGTCAAATAAGGCTGATACACAGATACAAGCTTTGCCTTTAATGTCTGCAAGCACAACCAACATAACACAGAAGTTACTTAAATAATTACAATACATATACACTGAGGCCCATCCACCAGATCAACCTTCAATGTAAAAAATGCTAAGTTATGGAAAGGCACAAAGCAGGATTATGCTGATCAATGTTTTCTTATCTCAGGTCTACACTATTCAGTGTAATTATATCTAAGGTCAATGCTATACTTATACAGTGTAATTATATATCAGGTCTACACTATTCAGTGTATTTATACACAACAAAAACGATGAAACAACAGTTTACCTGTTTATTACAATTCGAGATATTTAAATGAGGCAGATAGCAAGATAAAAAGAAAATACAAACTTATACTTTGGCGTATCAGGGGCTACTCACTCAAAACTATAAGCTAACTATATACAATACTACAAAAACAAACGTGTACTGACGGGGTAGCCTCCTAAGCAAAGAAAGAGGCCACAAGGAAAACAAAAAATATATTCTCAGCAATATATTTTAAGTAGGCCAGACAACTCTTGAGCGATTCAAGACAGGCCAAATGTAAATATCTAGTGAACGTTCTTGAGCGATTCAAGACAGTATACATGTAGATATCTAGAGCAAACCCTTGAGCGATTCAAGAGCTGCATATAAGATAGAACGTTCTTGAGCGATTCAAGACAGTATACATGTAGATATCTAGAGCAAACCCTTGAGCGATTCAA